AATGAATTTCAGGAATGTTTTCTCTAGACCTGTGAGGTATACTAATGGTATTTTCACTGGGATTCCATTAAATCTACATAACAGTTTTGGGAGTATGGCCATTTTTACTATGTTGATTCTTTCTATAAGAGCAAGGAATATTTCTCCATTCTCTCATATCCTCCTCATTCTCCTTTTTAGGTTACTATAAATTTCATTGGCAGATATTTTACATCCTTTGTTATACTGATACTTAAGTATTTAAATTTTTTTGATGATATCATGAATGGTGTACTTTCCCTAAATTTTTTCTATGTGAGTTTGTTACTTGTGTATAGAAATGCTATTGACTTTTGAGTGTTAACTGTGTATCCTGCTACACTACTGAATTCTTTTTTACTGTATTTGTTACAGTCTCACTGTGCAGCTTGGGCTCATGATGATCCTCTTGTTTTCAGCCTCCTCAGGGCTGGTCTTACAGGCATGTGCCACCACTCAGGGTTTCACTGCACACCTGGAGTTCCAGGGCTGGCACAGCATGTGGTACCTTGGATCAAACCCAGGTCCTTACACTTACCAGGTAGGAGCTTAGAACACCAAGCTATCTCCCTGGCCCCTGAATTTGGATATTAACTTTAAAAGTCTTTTTGTGGAGCTTTGGGGAATCTTCTATGTTGCCCATTTTTTCAGCACTATTTATTAAAGAGTAATTCTTCTACTGAAGGTGCTTGGCTCTGTTGCCAAAGATAAGGTGGTTGATTATGTTTGGAGTTGCTCAGGCTGTAGCACTCTGTGTGCCTCCTGCAGGCTTGAACTCAGCTCCCTGCTGCCTTGAACTGGCCTTCTTGACCTCTTACTGCATGAATTCAGTTTTGCCTTCCCCTGACCCTGGAAGCCAGCAGATGGAGCCAGTCTATAACAGCCCTGAAGTTCAAGCTCAGTTGGTCCCTCTCCAAGAAGGCTATCGACAAATCATGTTCTCTTGGGGGACATCAGAACCCCAAAACTCACCAGCCACTACAATCTGCTGATGCACTTCTCTGTTCCTCTGGCCTTGCCACTGGGCTCACCAGTAATTCCCATGCATCTGCAGGTTCAAGCTGCCCCTCCTGTGTAGCGTGTCAGGGCTCACAAGAAAACCCGGCTTGCAAACTCCTTCAGTACTGATGTCTTTGTCCTTGTTCTCCCCAGGGCCTTTAATCCTCAGTTTAGATCCATGCTGGGTCCCAGGAGCCACTTACCTCCTTCTTGTCCCCGTGTTTCTATATTTTAGCACCTGAACGCCAGATCTCAGATAGGCTGTTCCTCTACTGCTCACCAGTACTCTGTCTTCCCAAAAAAGCATGTTTAAGCCTAAAATCTAAAACTTTATTTATTTTATTTTATTTTTTTAACAGATGAGTAAAAATATGGAACGCTTCACGAATTTGCATGTCACCCTTGCACAGGGGCCATGCTAATCTTCTCTGTATCGTTCCAATTTTAGTATATGTGCTACCGAAGTGAGCACAAACTTAAAACTTTAAAGGAAATGTTCTTCTAGTCCTGCTTATGCTCTCCAGACTATGACCATTTTATCTCATCTTTCCATACAATATGAAGTGAAAATTTAGAGTTCTCAATGGATTTATGTCATTATCATTTACTTTGTCTCTCCTAAACAAAATTCAGCCTATGATTAGCATTATAGTTCTATTTACATTTATTCTCTCCTCTCCCTGCATTTTTTTTTAACATTTATTTATTTATTTAGTGTGTGAGTGTGTGTGTGTGTGGCCAGCTCAGCCCACCAGGGGGCGGGGCTGGCTGGCATGTGGTGCTGGGGGATTGAACCTTGGTCCCTGTGCTTTTCCAAGCTTGTTCCAAATAGGTGCTTTAGACCACTGAGCCATCTCGCCAGCCCCTCCCTGCATACTTTTGGCTCTTAATGACCACTTGTCTCTTATGGTTCAAGTTTCTTTAGTCGTTTTCCTTTTGTTACAATTGGGTGGCCCAAAAGAGTTCAGGTTCTTGTGTATGAAAAGGAAAGAGTTACCAAGTGCACAAGTTGTCATATGTAATAAGAAGCTACATTTACTGCAGATCTATGGCAGCAAGAACAGCAAGAAGATTAAAGGGAAAAGGGCAAAAGGCAAAGGGGCCTTGAATGTGAGAGGGAAAGTGTCAATCAATCAAGTGGAAATAGATATGAATACATGTGCACCCAATATCAGAGCACATGAATATATAAAAGAAATATGAATAGACCTAAGGGAATACCTAGACTCAAGAAAAAAATAACAGTTTGGAAATTTAACACACACTTTCAGCAATAAACTGATTACCCAGCAAAAATTTAGCAGACAGTAGATTCAGATTGCACCCTGGACCAAGCAGATCCAACAGACATCAACTGAACATTCATCCAACAGGTACAGAATATACATTTTTCTTAACAGTATGTAAATCATTCTCTAGAATGTCGTATGAAAGGCTACCAAACAAGTCTCAACAAAAACTTCTTTGATCCAGTGTCTATCTTGCTGTGTAGACCAGGCTGACTTTGCACTTGTAGCAGTACTCTTGCCTCAGCCTCCTGAGTGCCAGGATTCCAGAGATGCACAACTGTGCCCACCCAGAACTTTTTTAAAAGCTCAAGTCATAGGATACATAATTAACTCACAAAAATCATTAGTTTTCCTATACACCAATAATAAACTTACCAACAAAAATCAGGGAAACTATTCCATTTATAATAGTTCCTGGAAAAAATCTAGGAATCAATTTTACTAAGAAGATGAAAGACTTGTCTAATGAAAATTACAGAAAACATAAGAAAGAAATTGAAGAAGACATTAGAAAATGGAAAGAGTGACTTCTGGGAAGATGGCTGAAGCAGAAAACAGCAACAAATCAATTTCTCTTAGATTCAGAATCCAGACACAGGAAAATAACAACTTGGGGAAGAAAATAAGGAGGGAGGGTGGATCTTTGGGACCCAGGAAAGATTTGAAGCCCTCAGAGGAAGTGAGGAGACAGACCACAGTGCACAAAATGGAAGAGGAAAACTGAGTTTTCTCCCTAGCTCCTGGCACGAAAGAGAAGAATTTAATCTACAGAGACAGTGAAGGTGAATACAGAGACCTCCAGGGAGAAAAGCACCAGTGGAATGTTGCAGTAGATGCTGTGTGCTACAAAAGTTGATGACTCCAATCCAAGTGACACTGTGGCCCTTGAAGAGTGTGCATAGCCAGATACCCTTTAGGGAGGAGCCAACTGAATTTGGGATTAGGAGAAGCCTTGAGTTGACTTTATCTCAGGGCTCCCAGGGTCAAAATCCCAGAATGGGTGAGAGACAACCCCAGGAGAAGTCCAGGATCAGGAAGCAGAGATTAGGCCAGCAAGAGAAGAGCTCAATCCAGCAGCTGCTAGACGATGCAAAGAAGAATAACATAAGATAAACTGGAATCAATTAAAAATTAGAAATAGCAGAACAGACATAAAAATCCTTTTCATAAAAATAATAGTAGAAAACTTCCCAAGCATGGGAAGGCATCTGACATACAGATAAATAAGGTATATAGAACTCAAATTAGCTATGATCATAAAAACTATACAAAGGGACATCACAGTTAAGATTCCAGAAATTCAACACATGAATAGAATATTAAAAGGTGTTAAAGAAAAAGAAACAAGTAATGTATAAAGCAAAACCTATTAAAATCAGAGCAGAACTCCTCAACACAAATCCTTAAGTCAAGGAGAGCTTAGACTGAAATACTTCAAGCCCTAAAAGAAAACAACCACCAGCCCAGATTGACATATGCACAAAATTAATTTTCAAAGTTGGTGAAGAAATAAGATATTTTCATGACAAAGAGCACCTGAAAACGATTCATGATCACCAAGCCAGCATTCAAAAAAATTCTGAAGGATATTTTAGAAAACAACAATGAAGACAACAACTGAATGAATTGCTGAATAGATCCCAGTAGAATGACTCTATCAGGAGAAGTAAGCAGTAAGACAAAGGGGAGACAGAAGTGAACCAACAACAGGAAAATAATACTGACAAGGATAAGTCAATACATATCAACTATATCCATCAATGTGAATAGTCTCAATCCATCAAAAGAAACAGATTGGCAGAAGGGATCAAGAAAGAAGATTCAAGCACAGTGTCCTGAGTTCACTTCAATCCCTGGTACCGCAGCGAGAGAAAGAGAGAGAGAGAGAGAGAGAGAGAGAGAGAGAGAGAGAGA